CGCTTAGCCCCATTCGCACCCATTAGCTGAAAAGATCTAGTTGCTGTGAACTATATCGGCTAAGGCTTCGGCTGCACTCCTGCTAGGCTCATTTTTGGTGATTTGGAAGACGAATATCGTGAATCCCACCAAAACAAGATTGTGCACATCCTTATTATTTGGTCCAGAACAGGGGGCATCAGAAAAGTGTCTGGCTAAGTCTTTATACCGGATACAGAAGAATGGCTCCATCCACCAAGGTCATCTAGAGATATTGGGACTTTGGAGCAGCGGGCTGGGTGTCAGCTGCATTAAGATCACTACTGACAGAAAGGTCATGAATGGGTCAGAGTGAGCTTCTGACCAGATTTGTGTAGCTTGTTGTCGAGCTTTGCAGCCCGAAAGACAGTTGTATCTGTCAAGTAGGAAATTTAGGTACCACTTTGTGGGGAGGCTAATTTAACTAATTTACAAAGCCATAAAGATCAGCAGGGAATGAGGAAATACTTCATCAGTGTCGCAGATGGACGGTGAAGCGACAGCTTCCCTGGTGGCCAGAAAAAGATGGAATGTTAAAAATAGCCTCTGACTGTCTGTCTATATGTGTTGTGTGTCTATGGCATTGAATGTTTGCCATGTATATGTACATTGTAATTCGCCCTGAGTCCCCTGCGGGGTGAGAAGGGTGGAATATAAATACTGTAAATAAATAAATAAATAAATATCAGCAGATGATGTAACCAACCTCACTTCAGACTTCTATCTTACACTAAATAAAAGTGAAATTGTGCTGGCACGACAGTGCCAGGAGATTTAAATTTCTTTTTCTTGCACTGCTAGTTTGTATGAATTTATTTAGCCACGCATTTTGCAATCAGGCTGCTTCCCCAGGTTGCAGTCATAGGGCCAGCAACCTGGCAATCATCGTAAGAGTCTTTAGACCCGCCCCTTTCCCCAGGGTTTTGGAGGCAAAGGAGGACTTTTGTTCAGTCTCACTGTTTGAAGCCTAACAGCAGGACGTGTGGGTTTCTCTATCCCACCTGCACAAAGGCTTCACTACTCACAGCTCTGCTGTGGGAGTAAAAGGATAGTTCCACAGTTTTGCTGGGTGAATACAGGACAGTTCCTGCAGCCTTCATGGAGTAAAACTGAAGGACACCTTTCGGCTTGGCAGATCTACAGCGGCCTTGTCTGGTAAGGACTACTTGGGCTATCCATAAAGTAGCTTGGAGCCGGGAGTAGGGGCCTTATGCCAGCAAGGTAAAGAAAGATTGCCCAGGGAGGGGTCAGAAGATTTCTCTAACAAAAGGAACAGTTTACCACCAGTTGCCTGCCCTTGATAGCAGATTGAGGAAGCTACCGGTTTTCCAAGGTTATAAAGCATTTAATTCATTTGTTTGAAGATTTAAGCCCAAATAAAGAACTTTGTTGAACTTATTTTGAGCCTCAATAGAACTTTGTGTTGGGAAATCTAAGAGGCCCTTCAGCTGAGGCACCCCGGCATCCCGTTGGGCATACAGAAGGCACGTCCTGTAAACAGACATTATTTCAGGTCCAGCGTGCGACAGCACAGAAATATTTAATGTCATAGGTACTGTCAAGTCTCTTTATTTATTATTAATAATTATTAAACTTTATTTGTACCCCGCTACCATCTCCCCAAGGGACTCAGTGTGGCTTACATGAGGCCGAGCCCACAACACAACAATAACAAAAGCAAAAACAACAATAATACAAGCAGTAAATAAAACTCATAACAGAAAATAAGCAATAAACATTAACAATAGCACGACGACATTTAAAAGTTTATGGCTGGGTCAAACGTAATAATTAAAATTTAAAATATGCTGGACATGGCAGGTAAAATATGATTAGGGTCGGATTTTCGGAAAGTGATGGGTGTGCAAACAATCCTAAGTCATTAATGCATTTAAGGACAGGCTGTTTCAGGAGGAAGCTACGTGTTATGCTCCTCATGGAGAAATGCAAATATATTTCACAGATAAATAAAACAATTTCAAAAACGATTATGGAAATAATATTAAGTGCAGTCGTATCTCACTATACTATTGTCTTTCTACAATAAAGACCCTAAGGGGGAGCAAATGATGAGTTTCCTGGCAGCTGCACAGGAGGAAGCTACGTGTTATGCTCCTCATGGAGAAATGCAAATATATTGCAGTGGTTTCATCCTCTAATGATAAAGTCATGCCTCGGTTAAATGTATAATCTAGCAACAAGTTGAAATTTGCATGATGAAACAGCCTGTTTCTTATTGTTACTATATTTTAACAATATGCCTTGCAAAATAATGCAAAGAACTGCTATCACTCACTTCACCCTTTAATCTATTGTGAGTGTGGCTAAAAGATATTGACACTGAATTTGTCATTTAAAAACTTATAAACCAGAGGAAGACACTGAATTAGTCCAAAGTTAATCCAGGATGAAGGTCATTCAAAGTAATTTTATATACCCTAAGCTGAGAAAGATCTAGACTGCATACAGTTTCAACAGGCCAAGTGTCAACTCATCTAGCCTTTGCCATTTGGCTATTTAAAAAGGCACTCCTCTTTTCCTGAATCCATTACACTTACAAAAGTGAATGAAATATAGACATAGTAATATTTTGCTGACACATAGAGACCACACACTGAATTGTAGTTATATTATATAAAGAAAAAGATTATGTCACTAACAGTAATCAATACCAGCAAAGGAAGATGGCTCCCATTACAGCCTGGAGAAGTACTTCCTTGGTGGCTCTGTGATGGAACTGTCTCAAAAACACTATCACTGCTGTCAAAAAATTGCCAACAGCAGTTGATGGGAGACTCCCCGTCTTTCCATTAGGCTGGTTTATTGAGGCTTCCTCCTGTGTGATGAGGTAGGGGGAAAGCAGGAATGATGTGGGGCGTGAGGCAACAGGTCCCCATGCCCCATGGGTGGGCACCACCAAAATCACCTCAATCCACACCCATACTGAATGATTCTGGCAGTGCATGTAGAAGGGTGGCTTGTCTCACACCAATGCACCTAGAAACTAAAAATAACAGAATCAGTCATGCCCCCACACCCAGGAAATAATGAACAAAATACTTAAAAGGGAGCACCATCCACCAATGCGGTGGATCTTTTGCATCCCCATATCCATTGCAAAAGCTGTAAAATCAACACCGATATGGAAGAAACATGCTCTGAAATTTACACGATGCAAGCCACAGAGCCCTAGAATTAATACTGCAAAATTTGGTGAGAGGAAGCATGTTAACATGGCAAAAAAAGAAATCCAATCGAAAGACTCCTAAATTGAGTATGGTTGTTGAATCGCCATGACTGGACAAATATCTTGATGGATACAACTATTTGGAACCACTATTGTGCTTCTTAGATGTTCATATAGTGAACTTAACCTGCTGGGATCCTATCTCAAAATGGCTGAATAACGGCACCTTATCAGATCTATCCCTATTTAACATAGAAACGAGCTCGCTAACCTGGAATCTGAAATCTGGCTGCCCTTCAGGGCCCTTCCACACAGCCATATAACCCAGAATATCAAGGCAGAATAACCCACAATATCGGCTTTGAACTGGAATATCTGAGTCCATACTGCCATATATCCCAGTTCAAAGCAGATAATGTGGGTTTTTATTTAGCTGTGTGGAAGGAATCTCAGTCTTTCCCACAAATGCTAGGGCAAACAACTGGCCCTGGATTGATGAAGGTGCAAAAACAACAGAAACTGAATTCATAATTTAAAAATGATTCTCCTCCTTGGATATTACAAACATGATTCATACTCTTTTTATGTTTCTTTAACTAATTAACTATCTCCTAGGAAGTTGAAGACAATGAATGACCCAATGAGTATTTTCTGCTTTATGAAGCCTTGGCAAGTATTCCATTCACATATATGTGTTACAGTCATTTATTTATGTGTGGAGGCAAATGCACAAGATTGCAGACAACAGGCTTTCTACACAGGAGTGGATCTTGGGTTTAAGATGTACCTTCAGTGCATCCCAGAAATAGAGATGTATGGAAGGGGAAATCTACAATTCATTTGGGTCAAGGGTCGATCCCACATTTTTGAGAAAGTAGAAGAATAAAGATGGATGAATTGTTGGCATTTCTTTTTTGTTGTTTTTCAGTCTCACCATTTTGAAGGTTAGTTCCTTTTTAATATTCTTGCTCCTTTTTAAAATTCATTTTTTATATAAAACACATACATAAAGCTAACTGAACAACATTTGCATAGCTAACAATGTTTCTCCCCAACTTACATTTCTACCCTAAATAAGTGTATATCTAGAATACAAACACATATACATACATTGGTTTTCAAAAGAGAATTTTCTGTTTCTCTTTTACCAGTTCCTCTATAGTTTAGCATTTTGCATTAGACTTTATAATCAACAAGTTTACTTTACTTCTGCTTGTTTTACATCAAGAAATGAATATAACAACATTTTATATCTCCAGACCTGTACATACAGTTTTTCCCCTCTCCCTCAGATATATAGTGATAGAAAGATTTTCAGCCTAAGGCCTTTTATACAACATTTCTGGCCCTGAATTGGACAAAGCCAGGCCCATAGCCAGGATTTTGATTCCGGGGGGGGGGGGGGGGGGGGGGAGGAACAGAGAAGATACTGGAAATGACTACTGACATTCCAAATAGTCTGGGTACAAGCCTGTTGATCCTTGGCTTCAGCCAGAGAAAGAAGCAGCTGGTAAAGTTAGCAACCTTCACACAGTAGAAAACATTTAGCCATGTGTCAGCCCAAACACTGGCCAGATTGAAGAAGATCCAAACAACATATCCAAATATTTTATAAGAA